AGGGGGGGGGGGCTGGGGAGAAATAGTGGACGTACCATACTGCATGTATACCATACGTGGGCCGCATGTATTCAATTCGGGACAGACCGCGCCGGGCAAAAATAAAAGCAGAAACAAAGGGCGCGCACGCTCGCACACACGTTGTGGCACTGTGACTGCTTATCGCCCCTCTGCTTTAAAAAAAGCAATCAAGTCGATCCAACTTTATTTCTTGGTCATAGCAGAAGCCGCGAAGGGCGGGCTGCTCAAAACGGAGTAATTAGCTAGCAGCTTGCTCGTGGAGAGCGCCTGGGAGGTAGGCAACCCAGTCGCCCCACCGCACTCGCGCTCGCCGGGCTGGCCTACGCACAAGGCGCTCACCGGTACCCAGGCACTGAGTCACACAAACGGGCCGAGTAGTGCCAGAGGAGAAGAGGGAGAAATGAAATTGAAACAGTGTGTGTTCTCCCAAAAGACCGCGTCAGGTTAAGCATCGAGTAAAGAATGAAAAAAACGAAAAAGTACTGCATTTGAACGACCAGCTCACTTCTCGAGCTTCTCCGTCACGCACAGTACAATTCCTTTTGAGTATTCTGTACTTTTTCTCACATACCCTGACACGGCGTATTGGTCTAATATACCGAGATACTTTTGCTTTATTGTCTCCCGCATTTCCAAACACAGCTTCTTTCTTTTTTTTATCAGCTGCTGATATACTATCGCGTGATTGAGTACATGAGCGCCGTCGAGTTGCCGAGGAGCGCCACGGCCACGCCGCCGCCGGGAGCCTTCCAAGCCTGTAAGAAGCATAAACATGAGTCGCAGTAAATAGCACGGGAAAAAAAAGATTCGCTGTGCCAGCTAATACAACGACTGGTATTTGGACAGATGACCTGATAAGTTTCTGGAAATACTATATGAGCTATTATAATCGATTATTGACTGTAGCAGTCGATAATTGACTCTGGGAAATAATATGCAGATTGTAGGAACATTATGGTTCCAAGAGTCAATAATCGACTGAAAGTCAATAATCGATTATAATAGCTCATATAGTATTTCCAGAAACTTATCAGGTTATCTGTCCAAATACCAGTCAATGTATTAGCTGGCACAGCGAATCTTTTTTTTTTTTTCGTGAGAGCAGCACGACACCGGTCAGGACAGACCGAGAGAAAACCTCAACGTTTAAAACCACGGTTGGGCCACGGGTGTGCTCGACACCCACGACGAGGCCATGGGCAGTTAAGGTTTTCCCTCGTTCGCCTCTTTATCACTAAAGCACTACACTGCTCATTACGCCAAAGCACCATCCGCCGGGCTACACTGCTCTACACTTCACAGCACTGCACCACACTGCACCGCCTCCCCGCCCCCCCAGAGCGAGGGCCGACGGTTGCCTTAGGTTTGCACCAGTAGAGGTATTCCCTCGTTAGCAGCCGCCTTGAGGCCCGAGTCCGGTGAGGTCGGAAACACGTTACACTGAGTCTTGCGCTGGGCTACACCGCACACTCTCAATCCCTTAGTGATTTTTTCGCGTGCGTAAACTATCAACGTATTTTTGCAACGGTACGGTGTAAATATAATTTTGTTGATGAATCGCAACGAAATTCTTGTTATCATATGACCTTTTCTTTATCAACGTTTTTGTTGATAACAGCAAACAACTTATTTGTTGGTACCTGATAACAATTTCGTTGTCACCGTACCGTTGCACAAAATTGTTTATAGCAAGAAACGAAAACCTCGACAAGGAATCGGAGAGCGCACTCTACACTTCACAGACTGCACCACACTGCACCTTTTCTCAAGAGCAAGGACCGACAGCTGCCTTAGGCTTGCGCCAGTAGAGGTATTCCCTCGTTAGCAGCCGCCTTGAGGTCCGAGCCCGTTGAGGTCGGGGAGTGGTGTGATATTAGCTCATCCGTTTCCCCGCATTTATGTGCTGGGACGAGGGGGGTGGGGGGCATTTTATCTTATCCGAATCACGCGCTGCGCTGACACAAGGACACACCTTAATCTATTTTTGTGCGCTCTTTCTCTAACACGTCGGCTCTAGGCGTTGGACTAGCGCGAGGAATGGCGTATGTGGCATGACTTTGTACTGGGGTGATGAAGTAATGTGGGGCCGCGACGGACTGGACTGATTGTCAAAAATACAACTAACTGACAAGCAAGTCCATTTTCTTCATGTCGTTCTTGTACGCTTTTGGCGGTGCGTCCTAGTACCTGCAATCCGAATTAACGATGGTCCCAATAGGGACGAACAAAATCAAAGTACGGTACGTCGGTCTGTACCTTCACTGCCACACACCTGAAGTGCCAGATTGGAAAAGAAGCCAAAAAAGGGAGAGAGGGGAACAGGATAATTTCCTTGCTACACCTCGTTTAGTCTGTTTCTAGGAGAAAAGGATTAGTTTTTAAACTAAACTTCCATGAAAGAGTGTTTAAACACTAATCTTTTCACAAAGATTTTTTTTAAATAATCACATTGAGGGGCTAGCGCGGTGGCGGCTACATTTTGTCATTCACAACCCTGTTTTCCGGGATTCCAGATCCCATGAGCGTCTTGATCACGACGTTCCCAGTGTGAGTGATGTACTGTAAGGGCGTGATGGTGTTGGGAAACCACCTCCCACACCACTTCCAGAAGTCGTCCGGCTTTAGCACTCGTGTTGTGCCCTTCTTGGGGTCGTCGCTGACGACAAGATATTTCAACCGGCCGCTACTTTCCCTCGGAAGACGTTGTTCCGCTTCGTCTCCCGCATCGTTGCATATCAGAATGCACTCGGTTGGTTTGTGCTTGCGCCCATCCACGATAATCCAATATCTGTACTCAGGCACTTTAAGTTTCTCAAGGGTCGATCGGCCTGTCAGCTTAGCAAGCACGCCGAGATGCCCAGTGTACACGAATATCATGTTGAATTTCCCACGGCGTTTTATGTATTCCTCTACTGTTTTTACGTTGCCCCTGTTAACAGATTTCTTCTCTGGTATGATGTTGTATTTCATCTTCATTGACATGTGTCTGGCCGCAGTCGTATTCATGTGCGAGTACGGCACCAGGTGCGACCTGTCCGTCTCCCACGTTCCGGAGAGTGCTCTGTGCATTTTCTGGATACCCCCCTCTCGTGGGATGTAGTGGGGGCGCCGTTTTGGTTTCTTTTCCTCCGGCGAATGGGGTGAGAGGCAGTGAAAGGTAAAGGCCGGCATGGTTTGATTTTCTAGTGGTTGTCTCATAAACGAAATAAACGCGTATGGCCCTCCCAGCGGCAGCGGGACCATCGCCAATTCGAGAGGCAAGCTCATGGATTAAGCCAATACCAAACAGAGACGGCAAAGTAGAGATTATAGACGCGGTTTCTCAAGCTCCTCGGCTCGTCCCTACTTTGTATCGCATCGGCAGAGTCAAGCCACATACGCCATTCGTCGCGCTAGATAGGAAGGAACCTTCGCGGTTGATGAGAAAGAGCGCTTCCTTGCTGTCACTGTTTTTTGTCTCGGGACTTGTGGCACGAGTCACAAGTCTTTCGCGGCCCCACTCTAATCTATCACATCGGCTTGAGTCAATCCGCATACGCCACACCTCGCGAATAATGAAACAGCGTGTAGCCCATATCTTTTGCTATTGAGACTCTTGGGTCTTCACTACTGAACTACCACCTCAACTCGAGTCGAGCCGCATACGCCATTTTCGTGGCTCTGTAAAAAGCTTTTTGTCGCGGTCTGCAGTGCTATCATTCGGTATCGCTGGTTTTTGGCTTGGGACTCTTGCGGCTCCCCGATCTACTCTATCACCTCGGCTCGAGCCAAGCCACATACGCTAGATACTCGGTTGGTTGGAATTCGAATTGTGAATGGCACCACCGAGGGGCCCACATCTCTGAACTTCAGGTGTACAGGCCTTCGAAATCATCTGGAAATCACATGAAATCCTCCGAATTCAATTTGGTGATTAGAATTCACTTCAAATCATTTGAAATCTTTTGAATTCAACCGAAATCTCTTGAATTCATATGAAATCTCTTGAATTCATATGAAATCTCTTGAATTCATATGAAATCACACGAATTCACTTGAAATCGTCTGAAATTAATCAGTGAAAATCTAACTGAAATCAGTGGAAATCATACTGAAATAAGCGGAAATCTTTTTGAAATCATAGAAAATCCGTTAAAATCTGTGAAATCATGTGAAATCCTGAAATCAAGTGTACAAGATTTTTCGGAGTTGTGGGCTCCTCGGGCACTTCCAAATAGGCGGCATTAAAATTGTTTAAAAAAATTAAATTTTTAATCTGGTTCGTGTTTAAGGATTCTTTCGGAGAAGCAGTCCAGTTTAAAAAAAATAATATTTTCCTCTGAGATAGAAGGCCAAAACGCTAGATCAACGTGAGGCAAGGATACCCAGCCCCAGCCAGAAACGAGATTTCGCTAGGCTAGATGCTCAGTTGGCTGAAACACGAAAATTTCGAACTGCGTTTGCCAAGGCGCAGCTCTTTGATTAGGAGGAGATAAGACGCCATAATCCCCCCCCCCCACTCCCCCCGTCCCCGCGACAAGCACGAAGCGATATAAAACGAGCAGGATGCGCTAATCACACACCACTCGCCGACCTCATCGGGCTAGGACCTCAAGGCGGCTGCTAACGAGGGAATACCTCTACTGGCGCAAGCCTAAGGCAGCCGTCGGCCCTTGCTCTGGGGGGAAGGTGGGACCGGTGGTGCAGTGCTGTGAAGTGTAGTGCAGTGTAGCCCAGCGCTCTGTCCTGGACGCACACTGACCGGCGCTGTGTTACTTTATGTGTTGTGACTTATGTTTGTGCTTCATCCAAGGCTTTTGCGGTGACGGTTGGACGACTCACGGTGACGTGGCTCGTGGCTCTTCGACGCCTCGGCAACTCCACGGCGCTGGCCTCAACCATGCGAAAAGTATTAGCAACTGATAAGATACAAGAAAAGAAGCTTTGTCTTTGGAAATGTAAAAGAAAATAAAGCCGAAGATTGTCGGTTTATAAGGTCAATAGACTGTGTCTGGTTATGTGAGCAAAAGTACAGAATAATCAACAGAAATTGTACAGCTTGTGACGGAGATGCTCGAGAAGGGAGGTGGTCGTTCGAATCCAGAACTTTTTCGGTTTTTTATTTCTTTTCTCCTTCGCATAACCTGACTCGGTCTTTGTGAGACCACATTGTTTTGCATTTATTATTCCCCTCCTCTACTTATTTGACTCTACTGGACCCGTACGTGCGACGCTCTGCGTGGGCGCCAGCGGCCAGCGGACGCCTTGTGGGTAGGCCAGCCCGGCCAACACGAGTGCGGCGGGGGGACTGGGTTGCCTACCTCCTAGGCGCTCTCCCGGGGGCTTCCTTTCCTTGCTCCGTTCTCCGAATCTCGCGTCCTTACATTTCTCAACATTGCCTTCGCATTTCCACTTCCCCGCCCCTTATATCTCGCCTTCGAATGCGATCGAAACTACCAACATCGTGGAGCCAACTACGCTCCCTTTCTTCTACCCCCGTCCTGCCACGCCCCGCCTACACCACAACGCCCCCCCCCCTCCTCGGGCCGGGCACGCATTTCTCTGCAGTATGACGGCAGGCTGCTACGCAGTTCGCCCCCCTCCTCCTGCTTCCCGGGGCGCTGCTCGGGCCCTAGCCCGGCCGTCCCTACCGTGACCTACCAGCCCCGCCCGACCGTTGCCCTTTTGCGGGGCGTGGTGGGGCCGGGCGGCGGAGAATTCCATCCGAGTGGGGTCCCTGGCCAGCCCGGCCGACCGGCCCAGAGCAGCCTACGCCTACCCCGGCCCCTCCTCAGCGCTGCCACCACACCAAGCCCGCGGCCCCCTATCTTCGTGCCCGCCTGCAAGACCAAGAGATAAACTCTGAGCCGATCCAAGGAATCTCTCCGGGTCAGTGTAGCATTTTACGCTCCCAACATCTACACGCGGAGACGGTAGTCCGCCAGCCAGCCGTGAGCGCTGCCCGCGCGAGCAGCGCGAGGTCGGAAATATTATTTCCGTTTGCACGGCAAGTTTTGTCATTTCCTCTCCTCGCCCTTGTTGTTCGAAAAGGCATTCTCCTTTCGCTCGAAACGTCTGTGTCTCCTCCTTTTTGTCTCCCCTGCCTCCTCCACCACCCCATCACACTGCCCCCC